ACACACACACACACACACACACACACCTACCTCTCATTGGCCCAGGTCACATGATGTTGATGTTTACCTCTGCTTCAGGACTCAGGTGTGATGGACCTGGTGCATGATGGGATGTACCAGCCGCTCACGCTCTTCCTGCCGTCAGACGCCATCATGGCGTCTCTGCCTCAGCAGCAGAAGGATTTCCTGTTCCACCGCGACAACCGCCCTCAGCTGGTGGAGTACCTGAAGTACCACATCCTGCACAGCCAGAAGGTTCACCAAAAACTTTATTTAAACTGAACCAACACGAAAACGAACGTGAACAGTTATAATAAAAACAATTCTGAGTTTTTATATGAAAATTAAACTGTGTCGTTAGTGTAAAGTGGCATCAGACCTGAATATTTATTCAATGATGTGTTTATCAAAGGAGAAGCAAACCTACACACAAACATAGTTATTGTCGACATTAGAGCGAAATATAAGTTAAAATAAAAATTGGAGCCAAAATCGATTCCTGAGGAACTCCTAACATCAGTTCATCACATGATTAATTAACGTTTTGTCTCTCTCTTCTTCTCTGCTCGCTCAGATTTACGCTGAAGGTTTGATCTATCTGGATTCGGCTCGGACACTGCAGGGTTCGCCGCTCTCCTTTGTCTGCGGAGGGACAGACGACATCGTAAGTACGACAGGAACAGAAATCAATGAGGAGTCGACGAGCGTGGCTCTCACTTAACGACGTCTTGCTTTGAACAGGGAGAAATCTTCGTTAATGACGGGAAGTGTCGCATAGTTCAGAGACACCTTGTCTTTAATGGTGGGATTGCCTACGGGATTGACTGCCTTCTGACTCCGCCCAGCCTCGGAGGACGCTGTGATGACCTGATGACCTTTGATCTCCGGGTAAATCCTCACGTTTGGAGCCCCCTGGTGTTTTAAATTTGATTTAAAAAGCACATTTCATTTGAAGGATCTCAATGTGCTCCATTAAGAGTCCTTTAAAAACTTTATTGTTCACTGTAACAGTAACAAGTCACAAACATTTATGGACAAGAACCAGGAAGTATTTTATTACTTCACTCGTCCCCACCGGTCCTGGCAGAGGCCGTCCACACCGAGCCCGGTTCTGCCGGAGGTTTCTTCCACCTGGGAGTTTTTCCTCCCCGCTGTTGCTCATGCTTGCT